TGGGGACTTCATCAGTGCTTTCGCATTGAATAAATCTCTTTCTTCCTCCCACATAAATTAAGCCTAAGAGTAATTCAAGTAATATCAAGCTTAATGAAATGTTTTGAATGTATTGGGTGACCTTAGAGAAATTGCAAAAGGATTAGTGGAATAGCTGTCCAGCGAGATCCTAGAGGTACTTCCCGTCAGCATGGAGAGAGGTAGGATTGTTATCGAGACCTTATAGATTGAAGTTACGTTTGGGAAGTTATAATGGTAGCGCTTGGGCAGCTCTGCGTAAACTCCCCCTTACGAGTGATCGACGGTCGTGTCTACGGCCTCAATGGCTTTGTAGGATAAAAGCTTAGGGGGCCTTAAAGGTGTGACCCCAGGGCCCGGGTTCGGTTCGAGGCGGGAGGGGGAGGCGGGTCCGGGTGGGGAGAGCAAGGTGAGGACTGCTTTATTCCTCTCTGGGGCGCATTTCCACAGACGGTGAATTCCCAGGCAGCGTCTTCCTTTGCATTATCCTCCAACTGTTACAACTAAAATAAAGAAAGTCATTCCAACGAGCTGCACGAGGAAAAAGATTAAAAATAAATAAACAGCCTCCCTCACTATTCCGCCACAGACACCGAAAGCTCCCACATTCTCCGTCAGGTCGTTTGCATAACAATCATCAAGACATGACCCCCCCCCCTTTCCCAACCGCACTCTCTCCCTCCCCCCCTCCCTCCCTCCAGCACACCACAGCTCCTCCCCGCTATTCTTATAACCCTCCTGAGAAAATGTATTAATAGCCTAGATACCCAAGGAAAGAGGAGAGACGGGGGTGACAAATGCCGAGGGAAAAGGGCAATTGGAGTGCTAAAGACATGCAAATCAGGGGTGGGAGGGCGATACTACCTAGAAGCAGAGGGCATTTAAACATTATGAAATGTGTGAACAAGTGCTGCCTGGGCATGCAAATGCTGTAAAGTAGAAAACAGCAATGGCTCTACGAGGAGAACGAACAGGAAATTAGCAAATGAAGTACGGAGAAAGTCTACAATACAGCCGAGTATAAACTGTAAGCAAACACAATACAACTGAGAGCTAGGAGGCTGCCCACATACAATCTGAACTAAAGAGGGGTGGGGGGGGGGGCAGAACTACCAGCTGCCACAGTGTCCTTCTGTGTCTGCGGTCATTAGTTTGAATCCCAGCACAGCTGGCTCTGTTAGGGTCTTAATTCAAAGGACCAAGGACAGGTCTCAATTGTACAAGCCATTTGGTGGTGGGGCTTGGTGGGGGTAAGAGGGTGGTGTTCTACTTGTTTCAAAGAAAGAAAAGAAAGATGGACTCGATTAAAAAAAATTTTTTTTAAGTAACACCAATAATGTCACAGGTTTTAAACCAACTGCCTGCAGCCTCCATAAGAATATTTCCAATAATTCCTAATGGAGGTTCCTGTCTCTTCCCAAGAAGAAAGCATGGGACTTTTTAAAAAAATTTTTTTTTTTTAAATTTCTCACAGTCACTGGTTTTTACATTAAGTAAATTGGGGAAGAGGGGTGTCTCTTAAGGTGTTGTTTACCTGAAGAAATAACCATCAAAATTATGTTTTTCTTTTGCTCCTTTTAAGAGGAAAGTTTAATGTTAACTGGATATTTGCATTCATCTCTTTGCTTACAAACCATTATTTTGCTTTAGGAAGAGGTATTTTAGTTGTTTATTCCAAAGGGAGAGGTACACCACAGCCTTTTAAGAAGAAAAGCAAAGACATAAAGTGTATATTAACCTAAAAATCCAGTTTCTTTGTTTCCAGATTATTATTTTTTTTAGGCCAGAATATCTTTTTGTGACATCTTTTGAAGCCCACATATTGGTCTAGAATGTGGAGTTTAGGGAATTCTAAATGGGGCCCAGTAGTCTCAGTCTCATACATTCAGTTCAAAATGCATATCAATTATAGTAATTATGCTTATAATTAGATTAATGAACCATTTCTGCCCAAACTCCAAGTGCAAAAACTTCAAGACCTGCTGATGAGGTGCCCTAAAAAGAGGGGTTTATGTAAACAAATCCCTATTAGGCAAAGTAAATCAAGATAAGGAACCTCACCCCAGGCTGGATTAGAAGCTAGCAGGCATCTTTCAATCACAGCAAGTCCCTAATCACTCAGGAACCACCTCTGTGGTTTCGCATTAGGAAAAACTGCTCCCTTCAGAGCTCTCATGGCAATACAAAGGGTACCCCAAAATGCTCCTGGCTAAATATTCTTGATGCCTGGAAGGGGGTGGGGGAAGACACAGCAAGAATATGCATATAGCTTCAGTTCCTGCGAATCACATTATAACTCCAAGACCATAATAACTGCTACTCAGTAAAAACTAGTTATGCCAACCATGCATTAGATATCACATTGAGTGGAGGGAAAATTTTCAACCTTTTAGTCTTTTCGACCTTGTTCCACATAAAGACATAATTTAATAGCCTTTATTTTCCAGAGTATTAGAGTGGTGTTTCCAAACAGAAGCTTCCCTGGCTTTTCTTATTGCCATCACCTCCCCCTTCCTCCCTCAAGGTTTAATGCCACCAGAAACTGTAGAAAAGGACTGTGCCCAGGATCCAGGTCATTATTGTTTAATCAATGCCTCGCTGGAGCATGAACAAGGTACCTAAACCGCAGCTATTGTTTGGATTTTCTTTAAAAAAGCAAAATAAAACACACAGATAACTCTAGTCCTATTCCAAAGCTACATTAGACATCCACACTTCATGCTCCTGTTTTGCCTTCAAACAATGTGACTGTACATGTCTAATATTGTACGTCTGGTCTAGCAGAGACATAGAGATCAAAGGTCATATTTAACATTCAGGAGGAGGGGCGGGTGCAGATTAATTAATAAATTAATACAGCGACGCCTTTTATAGCTGGAGTCCAGCATTAATAATCTACTTTTACAATCCCAACGGACAGCACACATTTAAGAGAGAGAGAGAGAGAGAGAGAGAGAGAGGGAGAAAAAAAAAAAAAAAGCCAGAGAAAGAGAAAGAACAATCACTTACCAGTCTCTTTTTATTTGGGGAGCCTTAGAATTTGCAGACGCTGCCAGTCTGCCTTTAATTAGTTGCACATCACCCCTAACACAAAGAAACACAAATCCAGATGTGTCTTGGCAGCTCCCAATTACAACTTTAATACTTGTAAACAAACTGTTGGGGAGGGGGGGGGATAAATAAATATGCGGATCAAAAAAAAATACCTGTAAATGGCTTTTTTTTTTTCTTGTTGCAGAGAGCAGGAGGAGGAGATGGTGTTAGTGGTGGGGGTGGAAGGAGGAGGAGGTGGGGGGAGAGGAAAGAGCGGAGTGTGCGTGTATGTGTGAGAGCGCGGGGCTGTTCTCGGTGGTCTCTCCTCTCCCAGCGCGTTGCTCTCCGTCCGTCTCCAGTCGCTGTGTGCGAGGGAGGGAGGGAGCCGGGGAGTCTCTCCTCGCTCTCTCTCTCTCCTCGCTCTCTCTCACCCTGCCCCCCCCCCCCCTCTCTCTCTGTTTGTGTGTGTTTACGTGTGCGTGTGTGGTTGCTGGGGGAGGGGAGCGCGGAGAGGAGGCGGGGGCAGGGGCGGGGGCGCTGGGCGCGGAGGTGAGGAGGCGCGGGGACGCGGACACCCCCCGATGATTGGCTGCGAATTACACGGGGAACAAGAGGCGCACGCGGCCGCGCTCCCCGCACAAATCCTCTCCGCGGCCGCCCCGCCACGTTTCCTGGCTCGCCCGCCGCTCCCGCCGCCCGCCCGCCCTCCCTCCGCGCCGGCTCCGGCTCCGCCGCCAGCACACAGGGCTGTTGATTATTTTCCTTTGCTGTCGGAGATAATTGCGCGGAGGGGATGGGGGAGGGGCGTTCCCGCCCCCTCGGGCGTGGGGAGCGTGTGTGCGGGTGCGGGGGTGTGTGTGTAAATAAACTTGCCGGGGTTTGCTGGCTGCGGGGGGTGGAGAGGTGCGAGAAACAGAGGGGCGGTCGTGTTTGAAGAATGCTCTTAGCACCTTAGCCCGTGGCTTTTAAGTAATTTTCTGGTGCACCCAGAAGACTTTTACAAAAGAGTATCATTCAGGATTTTAAAGTAAGGGGAAACGGACCGGTGTTCTAGAAGGTCTTTTTTGAATAATATTGTACCAGAATCCAGAAAAAAAAAAATGGTGATGTGATGCTTGACCGTCTCAAAATCAATCTCAATCTTTCTTCTCTCTCCCTTTCCACACCGCGCCTCTCTCTCTCTCTCTCTCTCTCTCTCTCTCTCTCTCTCTCTCTCTCTCCCCCTCCCACCCCTTTCCTCTCTCCCTTCCAGCCCTCTTCTTTTGCTATTCCATATGATTGAATATGATTTTTAACTTACTGCCCCTTTTTTAAAATTCCAAACTTTACTTAAACAAAAACTACTTCTACATTAATCTACTTTATACTAGTATGACTTCTTGACACTTGAGAAACGTAGTTTAGTAATTGAAAGATAAATCTTTTTACCACAGGTCAACTATAAAGAAAACTCATAAATGCAGCTATGCATTAACTTCTTCACTGCCAACTTAAAGAAAAAGATATTCTGGATGCATGCTATTCTGCTATTGAAATCAAGTATGCTCTTGTGGAAATCCTTATGCAGTAAGATATAAAAATATGAATTTTTGATACATTTTGATAATATCAAATGATAATGATACGTTTTTAGCTAATGATAAGCTACAGAAG